TATTTTAACGATCGTTAGTAGGGTAACAGAATTCATATTTCTAATGACAAGTGAGAAATATCAGTCGTACTTAACAATTTTAAAGGCATAATTAATTAAAGTTATATAATTATTATTCCTTTTATATTACGTTCTAGAAGTGTTTTTGAATATGAATTTGTACAAATAAATGTGTACGAACGATTACAATATTATTAAATACATTATAAACGAATATCGAGTCGTGTAAAAGAGGATAGAAAACATATACTCGTCCATATTTGGATCCTCCCCAAGCTTTTAGGACTCGCCCCTAGATACGTATTATTTTTAGCATCCGCAAAAACCAGCAAAGCTTTATCCAAACGAGTGTAGAACGCTTCGCGGATTTCCCTTATCGATAGAATATAATATACGTGTAGACGTTTTTGACAGGCACTATGACTGAAACTGTTCAGTAACAATGCTTCAAGTTGGCGTTCGAGTGGTCGAGTGGTAACCGTAAGAACGCGGTTTTGTCGATGTATGTGGATAAGGGAACTTTGGGGATGACGAATACGTGGCGATAAAGGTACTGTCGGCTGCAGTCCGCTTTGAAAGAAAGTTATTTCTAGTCGGGAGAATAGAGAGAATAGCAAACGAGGCGAGTACATAAAGTGATTAACCTTTTCGCCGTGCACGGAACTAAAAGCTCTTATACCGTGTACGAAAGACCCACTCTGAGCGAATACCTCCAGAAATTCTCTGGTACTTTGCATTATTCGAATACTTTTGAAAATTCTATGTCACAGGCATTGTAACGACGACACCTTATGAACTGTCCAGGAATATTGCTCACTTAATAATTTCGATATTAGTGTCCCCTAATCCTATGTTTCTTTTATCTTGCTCGCTTAACCCTCGAGCGGTCCTCTGTGTTACTATACGCTGACGGTCTTCGGGACAAAAATGATATAAATACAGTTACTTCTACTCGTATTTGTATACTATAATGGTGATTCGTTATAAATGAAAAAAAATTGTTTCTTATGAATTGAGCCGTTCCTTGAAACTGATATAAATTTAAGGGTTTGCATTTGTCTTTGTCCACGGTATCGTGTACGTTAAAAACACCCGGTTCTTGTCTAATCGACTGGAATAGATTTCTCAAAATCCTAAACAATAATATTATCGTTGTTGGGAATTCCAACATTTTATATTATCGGACACGTCATTTATTTCCCATTGTTGGAAATGCGGTCAATGTCGGCATTGTTGGCGGGCCTGTAGCCGATGGTAGTGAGGTCGAATGGGGTTTCCCCGTTCGAGAGCGGGCTTATGTCTCCTGGCCGTGAGACGTCCACGTGTATTCTTTTCATAATGTCCAAGTTTATCTTTCTCTTTTTTGATATACAGGGTGGTCCACGCAATTGTTTCAAGTCATAACTCCGTTATTATTGCATTTACGGAAAAATGCACAAAGGAGAAAGATAAATGGTTCGAAGTGCACTACATCTGTAGGCCTTTAAATTTTTCTTAGATGCATCAGTGCATGTGCAATTACCAATTGCATCATTTCTTTAAATAGAAATGCATATTTTTTTTACACAGATCGATTCTTCTGTTCATTCTACGTAAAAAATGATTAGGGTACCATGGCAAAAAAATTATTAGATCTCGAGATATTTTCAAAAAATGTCTTTATCGAAGAAGATGCTCATTACTATTACTTAATTTGGTCATCCAGCAATAGTACCTTTTTTGACAATCAGAACATTTACAAGTTATAGAACAAAACTCAGTGACAATCAGAACATTTACAATTTACAATAGACCAGAGAACAGTTACAGATACATAGTATACAAGAGTGTAATAGAACAGAATCTGTAATGCAAATTGTATAAAAAATTAAATGTTCTGCTAATGTGAAATTTAACTAAAATCTTTCATGAAAAACTTGTATGAAAATGCGCATTTTGGGCAATGAAATGACATGTACCACTTTCAAAATTAATAATATATCTTATTTGTTGACCTACGATAACAAAAAAATTATAAAACAACTTAAAAAGAAAAATTCATTTTTAGAATTGTATTTTTTATTTTATGATTGCAACTTTGTAATTGTTATTTCAATGAATATTTATGCAGTTTCTGTTTCAACTACAAGATTTTCTGTATTGCACTCTTGAATAGCTTTAAAATATTCGTGATGAATTGGATGAATGTAAAATAATAAATTCATTAAATTTGTTTACTTTTCTTTCGTAAAGAATGTCTCGAAGTAATGAATAGTAATGACAATTCTAAGTTAATAATTACGTTTTTATGACAAACTTCTTCTATCACTATGCATAGGGGAAAAATGACTCACGGCACTATCAAAATAAACATAAAGCTGCAGCAGATATTAATGAAAATGATGACATCATTTTATTCCTTATTTCATGGCAACTTGACAATTCCTTCATAAAAACGAAATATAGTCGATAAGACATAATACGAAATTAAAGTCTCAATTTTGTTGGTTTCGTGACTTACATCACTTTTGTTATTATTTTGATAAACCGAAAATGTCTCGCTTTATTTGCCAAATATACAGCACGAACGTCATTAAATATCTCAATCGAGCATACCACGAAATTAATCATCCCCTCTGTGGTTCCAATATCGTACCGAATAATATTGCACGCTTTGAAAATTGCTTCGTTTCGCTGTGACCTGTACTGCAAAAGAATTAGCAAAATCATTACCTAAGCGACGAAAGTCCCTTTCGTGGGAATAGGAGGCAATTTCTCGCGAAGCCGAAACTGTCTTTCCCAAAAGGCAAACCTTACTGTCGGAAAATGCTTCCCGGTGGGTTAATTTCCGGCACGTTTAACGTTGTTAGCCCTTTACACGCGAACTCGAGCCTCTTTGGTTCACGCTCGCAAGAGACTGCTTTGGCGAACTCGCGCCTTAATTTTTTATTAAGCCTTGGCACGTTCAAATTATTTCCTCCGAGCTGGAACTCGAGGGAGAACAATGTTAAGTTGTGCGACAGATTAACTTGAATTTTACAACTCGGAGAGGGGTGATTCTATATGATTAAATTAGTCGAACACGTACAAGAATATTTTTTCACGCGTGGCTTGCTTTTCGAGAAAATCGAGTTAAAATATTTATTAAAGTTATTAATTGAAATTTTCTTCGCCGATGTACGCGTGTACTAAAATATGTATTGAATTATCGAATCACAGGTAATTTTTGTACTGAGTAATTGAGAATACAAAATAAAACAGGATATTCAAGTACGATTTCCATTATCCCAGAAATTGTTGAAAATATTACCCGCTTCACTGAATACACAATTTTATTGTAATTATATTTTTATGAACACATTCTAGCATGCTTTGCTGTTTTAATTTATCAAACAAATTTTTTCATTTAATTATTCAACATTTATATTATAATTTCTTCAGAATACACGATTTAGTTAATACAACTTCACAAATAAAAGTCGAGCACAGGTCAAATGAGTGTTGAAATAAAACTATTGTTCAACACAAATTACACAAATGTGAATTAGACATAAATCATTGTATAGAAAATGCTTCAAACAGGAATTAAATGATTTTAAAAGAAACATAATCAGAATGCAGATGCCATTGAATTTTTGAAAAAATAATGGTATGTTTCTTTATGCTTCATATATCAGGAATACATTATGAGAAAATACAGGGTGTTCGTTTGAAAATTTCAAATCTAAATAGTTCGAAAGTAACACATTTTTGAGGAAAATGTTAGTTGTAAAAGTTACGTGGTTTCAAGGGAGGAATACAACTATTTTACTTACATTTTATTTCTTGAACGATTTCAAGGTTATTTTGAAGGCTAACCTTGTTTTTTAAAACGGAGAATATGTTTTAATTTACAAATTCTTACTCTACGCACAGAAAGAACAAACTTTTGTATGAAACATTTTTTTATCAAATTTTATCCTACAAGGATATTTAATAAAATAAAAAATTTATTTAGTTAAGAAATTTCTTTATGATGACAAACCAATAACGATTACGCAACAGGTTGCATTATTGCTTTAACATGGAGAGTATTTTTGGCAACATTTTATGGAAAGAGAAGTACTGTGATTTTTTTTTCGTATTATAAACGATAATTTATTGTTTCAATATTTTGAATATATTTCGGAGATGTAAGCAACTACTGTGATTCTTTATGTAGTAAACAAGCCACGTGATAAATGTAATTGTTATTGATTTATCATCATTCAGTCGTAACAGAAATAAAGAAGTTTCATAAATAAACAAATTGTTCCTTGTAAGATAAAATTTGATAAAAACATGTTTCATACAAAAATTTGTTCCTTTTTACGTAGAATAAGAATCTGTATATAAAAATATAGGTTTACATTAAAAAAACCAGTCACTCTTCAAATAACCTTGAATGCATTCAACAAATAAAAAATAAATAAAATAGATATGTTTCACTCGAAACCAAGTAGCTATTGTATTTAACATTTTTCCTGAATATTTAGATTTAAACTTATCAAATGTACACCTTGTATGTGATATTGTTGCTATTGAATTTTACAATAACTTTGATCAGAAGATTGGGAAATATCGATATATTTAGTACGTATATAAATATACTAATCTTATATTTTTGTATTTGTTTAGCTTCAATACTTACCATTTGGAAGTTCGACTATCAAAAACGAGAAAATTTTGCAATTTCTTACACAGTAATCTTTCATGTTATACAATATTTTTTTATATTTGAAGATTATGCTCCGAGGAGAAACTAGTTTTGGTGTAAAAATGTTTGAATATTATTATTTGAAGTATGCTAGCGACGGCCATTGTCTTTCTTTTCTCCGATGGGAGAGAATCCCTGTCGAAGGGAAGGGCAAAGAGAGAAAAAACAGAGCTGAAAGCATCAGGTTCTCGAAATTGGCCTGTTTAGCGAACACGAGAATCCCTCGGGCTCTGTCGAGCAGCAAGCGATTCGATCGACGAAAGGGTGGGCAATTTTTTCGACTTACTCGACCATGTCGGACTCCTTGGCCACTCGGCAGTGAACACCACGATCCACTAGACATTTTCCGCTCACAGGATCCGGAGGCGCAAGATTGATGTAGGGCGGCTCTTCCAAGAAGGTTATTTTCAAATAAAACTTCTCCGGCACTCCTTGCGGAGGCGTATGGGTGTTTCCCGGCCAGACAATGTCCTTGATGTCCAGACCCTCCTTCTCCCAGGATTTCCACACGCCGATCTGTTAACACAAATGGAATAGGAAGATTGATGAGTCGCGGCTACAGTAGTGTAGTTTATTTTCATCGTTGAGAAATTTCTAACCTTTCGCTCGAAATCACATTTTCTGCTAGTTATTCTTATCAGATTTTTCAACCCTTTAGAAATAGAGACCGGAATAGAATTTGTTTTTCCTCTTTGATCACTTTATACTGGCGTTGGGTGACCGATAAGCATTTGTTAAGACGTTTAATGTTATGGGAGTCACCGGTGACCAGCGACGCCATAATTAGAATAAATGTCAATACTTATAAATTTTTCAATACTATCATTGTTACTACAATGTACGTGCACGCGTCTTTTACGGACTGGGCCGTCTATAACAGACTGGGGCCTTTCCTCAAGCGTTCCTTCAATATATACACATTCTTACCCTAATAGCAAAGGCAGAGAAAAAGAGATAGGACAGAAAGACGGAAAAACGAAACTGGAAAATATTTAGCGTAGGAAAAGTTTAGCGAAAGAGAGTCATAAAAGTCAAGAAACCTTGAAGGAAAACAGACGCCTCGAACGGCTCTGGTCGCCAAGTGTTTAACAGGACGACCAGGCTCGCACGAGACCCTGGGAAAATGGAAAAATAGAAAGCTTAAAACAATGGCCGCTACAAACATGGCTAGCACAATCACAAACGAGGTGTACGAATGAAAAGTCTACTCGTTTACCTCGTCTGTGGTGAAAGGTCTACTTTTATACCTCGTCTGTATTTATACATCTTAATTTATCTATCGTAGATAATATTTCAACATAATAAAACATTCATGTTGGCGCCACAAGGAATCCATGTAAAATTAGCGTGATATTCAACGTGTTAAAAATCCATGAACTTTTTGAATCTAGCACGTTGGTCCTTCGCAGTATATTTGTTCGAGACAAAAAGGGCCAGGTCGCTGCAACTTCATCGAGGTTTCGAATATGTAATAGGACGTGGGATAGAGAGATCTGGTCTTCTGTGTACGATATTTTAATATTGGATACAGATACGGGTCGAATGTGTTGCGATGAAAATTCATCCGCCGCGCCCTCGGGTCGATCCTCGTCGTTGACGCCGTCATCGTTTGACAGGGAATCGCAATTTTTCATTCCCCTCTGACAAGAAAGAAACAAAGGAGGACGGGGACCGAGGGACACCAATTTTTCGCGTCGAACTTTGATTAAGCTTGACAGGGTGCTTGCCGACCGGGTCGGAGATACGCGGTCCGCTTTTATTAAAAACACAGACCCGATAATCGGGATTCATTATAAGTAGACTGCGGATCTTTATGCAAATTCACATTTTTATTAATAGAGTTAATGAAACGGAAGCTTCGTAGAGGGCTGTCTCAACCCCTAAATATAATAATTCGTATCTTACTTTAAGTATTTCTTATATTTTTGCATATTAAATGCATTCTGTAGTTTTTTGAGGATTAAAATTTCCCATAAATGCATAAACATCCGCAGTCTAATTATAAGACTCGACGAATTTTCTTTATAAACCGATCGCTACCCGTTTGTGTGACACTATATGCAAATAGTGATGGAGCTAATTTGATTGTGTACACTTGAAAAATAAAGGTGTAACAGAAGGTGAGTTGGAGTTAACATTAACATTTTTTAGAATAATTTGATTAGTGTCATTATTGGACCACAACCCTACACCACTTAAAATCGAACTAAATTTGGTGCCTCTCGAAAGGAGACCTGTGATGCATGATATTTTATTTGCATATAAAGTACTACATAGCAGTATTGTATTCTCTGGAATCTTGGCTCTGTTTCATATTAACTACCCGCACCCAATATGGCCAATATAACTGTATAAATCGTATATGAGTGATAACATCTATTGATTTGCATCTTGTCTACCAATGACTATAAATACTATCTGTACACTAAAGGATTTTTTCTCCCGTTTACTGAATAAATTTATTATTATTGTTATCATCAATCTTCGACTGGTGATGTCATGACTGGATCAACCATTCTTCAAGGAAGAATAAAATTGTTTCGTACAAAATTTCGTTTCCGAGAAAACCGAGTTTAAAAATTTATATATTACACGTGCGACAGAAAGTAGAAGTGGGAAGTATTGGTCAGGCGCGCTAAGGAAATCTTATTCATTCGCATTTGTATCCGACTTTTCAAATACAGTTACAAAATAATGCTTCAAAAACGAAGGATTATACAAAAAATTTTATTCTACATTTTCCATTTATATATCAACAATGATCCGTTTCTTTTCTGGTTATATAACGAATAACGTGTATATGAAAATAAATATTCTGTAGTATTCGAGGAAACCGAAACATGCCCATTTTTTGCATTGTTTCTCTTCGATATTCTCTATTTTTTTTATCATGAAATTTCTTATTGATCTGCTTTTTTTATTTTCTATAAAATATTGAAAAATGTAAAAACCGGATATCCGCCGAAAGAAGTGATTTTTGTACTATTTTTTAGAGTAAATTACATTAAATTATCTTTCATTCTTGCATATATCGTAAGTCAAAAACATATTTTAATATGTTATATAAACTATATAAAATAGAATTTAGTGCATTATTATTGAACAAAAATATAATATAAGTTACGTAATTTGATGTAACAGTTAATTTCAGTATAATATTATTTGAGAAAACCGTTAAATCATTCTTGTTTATGGTAATCTTGCACATTTGCTTGTATTCCTTCTTAATTTCTTATAGTATTTATATATACGTCGTAATCCATTAGAAAGTTTTTATTATCGAAATTCACGTTACTTCATGTTGAATAAATAAAATTATGTTGGCCCTAATCGAAAACGCAAACGTACGTCTGGTTGGCGTTGACGTTTGGATATGGCCTTTGTCGAGTTGGTTGTCTGGATACCGGAACGTTTAAAAAAAGAAATATATAAAAAGAAAAGAGAACAAGAAGGGTTTCCGGACGGAAAGGACGTGCACGAGAAAAGTTAAAAGAATTCCTGCAAAGAACTCAAAAGATTAAAATAAAAAATTTCAAATCATTCTGAAAAAATTATTTTTGGTTGTGGGGGTCAATTACAATCATTTTTTGTGAATACACATACTCCCGAAATTTTATCCAGTTTCGAGAAAAAAATTCGTTACCGAAAATAGAATGTCTGATCATGAATGAATGATTCCCCTAACATTTCATGTGTTTCAAATCGTTCTGAAAAAATTATTTTTGGATGCGGGGATCAATTATAATCATTTTTGGTGAATAGACATACTCCCGAAATCCTGTGCATTTTCGAGAAAAAAATTCAGTACGGGCGGAACTTTAAGCGTTAATAGCTTTTTAATGAAGCCCCCATCAACAAATTGGTATTCTTGATTTTCGTCTTATTTTGGCCTCTGGAATCTCCCATTAAAATTTTTCTCTGTATAACATTTAATATAGATAGTATATTGTTGAAATTTTGTCAATACGATACTTCTTGTTGTTTTTAGGGAGATTCACAACATTAAGATACTGCCTCTCAAAGCCTACTAGGTATTTTTTTATTATATGTTGCATATTTTTTTGTAAGAAGTGTATTTTAAAACGAAGTAATGAAATAATTTAGGATTTTATAATAAAGGTGTATTACAATGTTTTGTTCTTACAAGAAAAACTTTCAACTCGTGTTAAAGTGCTTTAAACAAATTTTGGATGCAGAGGGATGCTAGTGATAAAAATATTTCATATCAAGCAATGTCCAGTTGTTTCAAACATACATATGTCAAAGCTTTTATAGCTTTGTAATCTTCAGTGATTCGGTTTAGTAACTGAAAATATATCTTATCTGTTCAACGGTAATAGAAATCGCATTTTATGTTTTCTATTTTTCTTGGCTCTGGAACCGAATAATGACATACAATCTTTGCACCTGGGTACATGTGGTATAATATCGACGTCTCTATCTTGTATTATATTCTTTACCTTTGGTTTCCCTTACAAGCGAGTAACTTTCTAAGGAGAAGTCGTTATTGGACTCTCTACCTAGTGGGTAACTTTCTAAAGAGGTTCAAGACTCGCGATACAAAGCGTAGAAGATTTCAAAAACTCACACAAGAAAATCTTCTCAGGAAACTACAATGGAGGATTTAATCCATACATTGTTAACACGTTCGCGGATGTTAATGCTATAACATTTTATAAACCACTTTATCATGCATTCAATTCTATATAATTTTTATTTTTTGAAATTATTATGCACTTTAATATAATGACTAAAGAATGAATCAGAATTCCACGGAAAGTACAAATACACAGTATAGGAAAATATATTGTAAATAAGGCTGTAACAATTACATTTGAAAATGTTGCATTTAAGAAAAAAAATTCCATCTTGAAGCAATGGTTTGTAAAGGGAAGTTGCATTTTTTGGTACTTCTTTAGTACTTCGAATAATTTTAAATACAGTCTTTTTTAATAAAGTATTACATGTACTATGTATGTATATTTTCTTGATACTTTTTTATACCGTGTGAATCCTTTAGTGCATACAGTTGTATTCTACATTTAGTTATAAAACGCTTAAAATATGTTTAATTACCACAAACACATTAATTTTGATAAAAATGTTATTATTATTCGTGTTTAATATGACACGAAATATATCGAGTACTAAATATTGCAGAATCCTCGTCTCAAATTTTGTCTTCATCATCTATCGAGCATTAATTTTGTCGGTGGTCTTTTATTCGAGCTGTTAAAGTTCCAAACACGAATAATCAAAAGTTATTGACGATCTAGCGGTTTGGTGTTCCCGTTACAAAATACGATGAAACGAAAAGCAAATACTAGACTTTGTCTCGAACTTGGGAAAACGACCAACGAAACGCTTGGCAATGTCGAGGGTAGTTATGGCGATCAATGTTCCTTAGACAAATATTTGTGTATGGGCGTTTTAACCCTTTACAGTTGTTCGTTTGTTCTCAGCCAACAAAGTACTGTCGTTCGAGTTGTGTGTCTATTCTCAGCCACCAAAACTTA